TAGAGAAGCCAGGGACCGGTATGGTGACAAAATCAGCATTATTAATCATTTGGATCCATATGAAGTTCCAAACAATGAGTGGAGCACCGATGAGTGAGCGCCTATACTTCAAAACAGTTCTGAAGCTACAAGTCCTTGGAGTCTCATATGCAGTTCATGAATGGATGGGTTCAGGAGCTGCAGATCATAAAGCCAGCAAACAGTGGGAACACAGTAATCCGTACGAAGGTAAGCTGTGATCAGACGGGCTCTGGAACCTGCTAGTTTAGCAACTGCTAACTGCTAATCCTAACAACCACTCACGCATGTAATGTACTTTTAACTAGCTGCTATGTGTTTCAAAGGTGTAGTTAGTAACGTTAACTGCCAACCCTCCGGGTTTCTCACGTATTTGAGCCTTTTCCAGCTGCCGTTTTTATTATTTTCTCATAAAAGATCCCAACTTTGAGGGAAAGAAACAAAGTAGGCTATAAAATAAAACCGTGCATCTTTAACTTACCAGAATGAAAATACAGGGAACACACTCTCAATGACATTGGAATACTGTGGAAAGTTATGTTCGGTCGTCTTACAGCCGCGATCCAAGCTAGCCGACGACTCTTTATCTCTGACGCTTGGTCTCCATAGTTACGCCTCCAGTCAGGAAAGCGGTGGAAAGTTAACCCATTTTCTATGTTTCCATGGCGATCATGTGTTGAGCTGTTACAGCCCACAATACAGCAACGGTTTACCATGGTTGAAATCAAGTTAAGGTGAAATTAATCAAATTAAAACACGGCTGAGAGGGAGTACAGTACGCGGTAGTCATAGGCAGTAGTCTGAGCCGCGGTAAAAGACGCATTCAACATGGCGGCGACTCGAAGTGCTTACGTCACGACGACCAAGCCCTTTTGAGTGGAATAATCTTGCTTTTCACAAAGTATCAAAATACCAAGTGAAGTGCTCGCTGCCATGCAACAAATGGCTAAAATTCAGCAGCAAGGACTCTTAAAACTTTGCCTTAACTTTAAGTTTCTTTTGTTTTTTTAAGACGGTCGTTCACCAATCCTATTCCTATTAAAACACACCAGTACAGGCTGTATCATACAAACACTTTTCCTCATCCAAAAACCTAATATTTCTCTTAAAATACTCTGTCGATGGCTATCAGCTGGGTTTTCTTGGTTAAAAAAATTAAAGGGAACCTGTTACATAATTCAGTTTAGTCTTTTTTACATTTTTTAAATCAGTGTGTAATTTTCAGCAACATCTAATGATCAGACCTTAGCGACACGGACCAGACCCTCACTGCATCTCCCTCCAACAATTAGCCAAAGATTTTCAATTCCAGTTTTGCACTTTATACCAGGGGCACTGTACGGATTATCTGCTTCTTGAAAAAGACTTTTCTAAAGAAAGGTTGTTAGACTGTTCTGCATGTATGGCCTGATAATTGCAGTCATTATCACTCAGCTCTCTATAATATTCTTGAGGATTTACTGTTACAAGAGCCAGCGAAATATATTTAATCTTGTGTGTCCATCCTGTGATAAAAAGTAACAACTTAGTAAACAAGCCTGTATCTTTTTAATAAAAAGGTAAATGAGATGGTTTTGATTTCTACACATTGTTTCCTTATTTTTATTACAATACCTTAGATCAACAAAATGTGTTTAAAAAGTATCATTTACTTTTGAAGTGCAGTCAAATCAGTTAAAATAGCTAGATTGTCCTATTTTGATATTCTTATCTTTGACTTAAAGGAATAGTACACCCACAACATGATTAGCCTTCATTTTCTACTCACCCCCATGCTGAACAACACTCTGGAGTACTTTTTTGATATCTCAAATGCATCTGGAGATCTGGGAGGCTTCTTGCTGTCTGCTGACATTCAAATAATGGAGGTCTATGGTGACCGAGACAGAAAGGTCCATAAAAGTCCACAAAAAACGTGTCAATATTCCTCCATACTGCTCGTCCAATGTAATCCAAGTGTCCTGAGTGGGTAGCATCCAGAATTTACTCGAAACGAAGTCATTTAGAACATTTTAGAGCCTAAACAGTAGTGTATAGGATTTCCTAATAGCGCCCCCATGCGCGCTCACGATTCTACGGAAGCCGGCAGACGAAACCGGAAGAAAGTGCGCATTCAGCGTCTGCTCTGTCGATAATGCAAGCGTAGAAGAAGAAATGTGCTGTTTACCTGTGCAAAGAAAGAAACAACGAAAGAAAAATGTCTGAGGACTTCAGTGTTGAGGAAGAGCATGAGTTCTTTGCCGAGCTGAATGCGCTGGTTTGGTCTGCCGGCTTCCGTAGAATCGTGAGCGCGCATGGGGGCGCTATTAGGAAATCCTATACACTACTGTTTATGCTCTAAAAACATTCTAAATGACTTCGTTTCGAGTAAATTCTGGATGCTACCCACTCAGGACACTTGGATTACATTGGACGAGCAGTATGGAGGAATATTGACACGTTTTTGTGGACTTTTATGGACCTTTCTGTCTCGGGCGCCATAGACCTCCATTATTTGAATGTCAGCAGACAGCAAGAAGCCTCCCAGATCTCCAGATGCATTTGAGATATCAAAAAAGTACTCCAGAGTTTTGTTCAGCATGGGGGTGAGTAGAAAATGAAGGCTAATCATGTTGTTTTGGGTGTACTATTCCTTTAAGAGAAGACACACTTTAAATATTGAGTCACAGCACCATCTGGTGGATCTTTTAGCACTTACTACTAAAAAAAAAAAAAAAAAAAAAAAAAAAAAAAAGGGGGGATGACTCAATAAGCTTGAACGAGGTCAGGGAAATCAGTCCAGCCATTCGGTTGATTAGGCAATTAAAGGATTAGATTATTTTGTTACAGCCGTCTCAATTAGTGCAGCATCATTTTAAACTGTTTACACTTTTACCCACAACAAGGCTTCCATTTTCCATGCAATGTCAACATAAGACATGCCGATCCAACCTTCTTCCACCACGATCAGCTGACTCTTTAAAAATTCTACACATTTCACATTAGTAACAGTATTACATACAAAACAGAAAAATGACATTTATAACAAATATGTTCAAAGTTTTTGAACATAATTTTATTTATTAAAATTGGAGGCACATTCTCTATTCTTTTTGTCTGAAATGATTTGGCATTATTTTTAAGTAAATCAATCACAAAATTATTTTCTTTTTAACTTTTTTTATTCGAGAGTGTTTGGTTCAGATATTTATTGAGAATGTATGCGGGAGGAGGTAGCAGCCACACATAAACTCTAAGCATACAGCATCATTACAGCACAGTTTAGGTCTACTGGCCCCCTTCACATAACTTTAACCTCTTTCCTTCCATTTCCTCTCTCTGGTGAGGACGATGGACACAGATGCACCTGTCATGTTACAATACTTACATTGTTGGGGTTAGTCTGCTCATCAGGATCAGTGGCGTAACTTTCTGAAGGACTTGTGAGGACATGTCCCCACCAACTTTGGGCATGGAGCGGACAATCCCCACCCGCTATTAACCGCGTACAGAGTAGCTACGTGGAGGAGGAGAGACACACAAAATATGGCGTTTTTAGCATAAATTCGCAGACATCCCAAGTTCCAAAAACTCATTTTAGGGAGATGGATCTACTTCATTCTTTTTCTTTACAAATTCAGTTTTGCTTATTATTCAAAAACAATAAGGCGATAGCTTCAGTGCTACTGAGATAGGATCCCAGTTTTCATCTGCTACTTGTTTTATTTCACAACAAATAAAAAAAATGCTCTAATTTTTACAGCTGATTTTAACAGTTTTTCTGAAGTTCTAATTCTAATTTTATAGAAACAGTAGTTTTTTGACCTCATAATCGAATTTTTATTTAACCTAATTGAAAAGAAATTTCACTTCATGCAGCTCTCTTAATATATTTCAATCCCTTGCCCTGATTATTTGTTTCATGCTTTTCTGTGCCCCCATGAAAACACTCTGCCCCCCTCCTGGCCCCCTGGTAAATTTGGTCTAGATCCGCCACTGTTCCTAACCTTCACTAGACGTGGATATACTTAAGTATATTCTGCTGTAAAATTAGTCTATGGGGCCAAAATTGTTGCTTTATTATTTGCAAATGTGAGTGGAGAGTTGTGTATCTGTATCTCGATTTGAAAATGTGTAAATGAAGCTGTACATGTGTGAGGAGATTTGTGTGTCTGTAAAACAATCTGAAAATGTGTAAAACTACTGTGTGTAATCCGGTTTGCAAATGTGTAAAAAAAAATCCACAAATCTGCATTCAGATTTACAAATCTGTAGTAAGATTTGCAAATGTGTAGATCAATCTGTAAGCACACACAGAGATACTTATGTCTGAAGTATTTTCGGTTCAAGACCCAGAAATACAGACAAATCATTGGTTACAAGTCGAGCGGTTTCTCGGTGGGCTCTTTTTAAAAACGTGATTTTTGCTGCACTTCTGCCTGTGAGATCCGCAAATGCGTAAAGGATTTGTATCTGTTATATCGGGACTTGCTGCCCTGAGCGCAGACTCACAGGCTGCCTCTTCCTACTGCTGGAGTTCAGCACAACTTGCTGCACCTACACCCACATACCACCAGTTGGCGGTATTGTACTGTACGTGACATTACTGCAGCAGGGCCAAGTAAAAAAACAAAAACTAAATTGTGTAAGAGGTTTATTTAAATGTAAAACCAAGAGTTTAAAAAGGTGTTGTGCCATATGCCATGATCAAACTTTTTGGACATTGGGAACGATCGTCCATATTTCATCTTGATAGGATGACCAGAGGAGAACAAGCAGCTTTGGTGAATAATAGCTGGGGGACTTCTGCAGCCCCTCTTTTCAGCCAAAGCAGTTACAGGCAAGTCACATGGAAGCCACCAGAGGTGTGAAAACCTACCCCCCTCCCTGTGAGGACAGAGCAAAACCACAGAGCACACAGGATTCGTCCTCTTTTGCTCCTGCTCTCTTTTGCTCCTTTTCTCTTTGCCTCCTGCACTCTTTTCCTCCTCTCCCTTGCACAGGAAGCTGGGGTCAGCTTTGGCTGGATCTCCACCACAGTGGAGATGCGGGCCCCAGGGGAACTAGATCTCCAGAACCGTCAAGGATAAGTCAAAACCTTTCAAAACCAAACTTCTGCAAAACAGACCTTTTGCAACACATTTCTCTTGAATTTCAGAACTTATAGAGCCAGAGTGAAGAGAAGGCCTACCCTGTCTTGATGAATGACTGAGACAAAGAGGACCCATGCTGTGAGACTGATGCTACGTTCACACCGGACGCAGCAAGAGCAGAAAAATCGCGTCTGCTGCTTCCTTTTTGCTGCTTGTACCAGTTAGTTCTGACGCGCGGCTGAAGCAGCTATGCTGCTCTGGCTGCGCGGTGCAAAAGTGGGTCTGATGCGCGTTGGGCGGAGCTACTCTATCCTTTCTCTGCCTTGCAGCTATATTTGCTGTGATCAGTGGGAATAAAGTAGTTTTAATATGTTTTTAAATTAGAAAATACACCTGAAAACTTCATCAGTGCAGTCAGTTCATCCAGATTATCATCCTGCCTTCCAATGTTATTCTGTCGGAGCCGCTCAGACTCCAACATACCAGCGGTGCGCCGACAGCGGTTCACCGCGGCGGCTGGTAGGTGTTTTTCATCTAAATAATCGGATCTGCAGGCACTGGGATAATAAAAGCGAACATATTCTGCCGGGAGATTTCTGCATTTTAAGTTAATTTATGCGTCAATAAACGGTTTCAGAAGAGCGATCACAGCGCTCTGCATCATCAGCGATGTGTCTCTCTCTCTGTCAGCTCCCAGATCAGCTTCTCTGATTGGTTGATGCGGCGCGTCGAGCAGCAAAAGTTCAATTTTTCCATCTCGAGCAGCAGCGCGTTTGCGGCGCGCCACGCACGTCAGATGCTTAAACGCACCTGATGCGCTGCGCCTGCTGCTGAAAACGCGCTGCGGGACCTTTTGCTGCACCTTGATGCGCATCAACCATTGACTTTGCATGTAAACTCGCAGCTTCTGTCGCGCCTGCTGCGTCCGGTGTGAACGCAGCATGAGACAAAGAAACCCCTGGCTGTTGCTGCTCTGACTGCTGAGTAGGGTGGCCAGATGTCCAGCTTTAGGGCGGACAGTCCGGATTTTCATTGCAGTGTCCAGCATCAGGCGCCGCATTCAGACGGACGTGTATTTGTCCACTAGGCTTGTAGAGCACTTTTTTTTTTTTTTTTTTTGCTGGGCTGCAGCACAATATCCAATCATCAAAGATGCATCACTCTCTGATCTAACAGATGATTGGCTAAGAGTGGCGGCGTGTCAGATAAAGATCTGCTTGTCATTGGTTACAAAAGTAAACAAGGATCAGAATTACTGATGCTAAGTATTAAAGTCAGCGTCCTGTCAAAACCAGGACGTCGTTTAACTCAGAATGGACAAAAGAGCGTGAATTTATGACCAAAGGTTGTGGAGATTCATTCCTTGGTTTCTGCCACTTTGTCGATGTGATGTGGGCGTAAGCAGGCGAGGAAAAGCTGCAATTGTACGGCGTGCGAGTACGGAATAAACGTAATAAATAAGTAATAAACGTGCTGCAGCAAATTCTTCAATGTTGGCTTTTAAATTAAGTTTTGTCGCTCCTGGATGCTAAAATAACTTCTGCAGCGCTGCAAGGTGGACTATACAATAAAACATCACTTGTCCTACAGAAGTGTAGACTGTGACGTGAAAGTGGATTACAGTTATTCATTCATAGCTAAAGGGACCATAAAGACAGGTCTGCTGCACACACAGACACTTTAGATAAGTTCCCAAAAGACTGAGGCTCCTAAAAATAAAGCTATACTTTTAGAGCAGTTGAATGTGTTTTCTACAATCTCTTTAGTTGTTTACAAAAATATTAGGCTATTTTGTTATGAATATTTCTTGTCAAAAATATGTTTTTAACGTTTAAGTCCACACATCTTATGCCTTGTAGTATTCTGCACTTTAAAGATTCATCTCGGTGGTCACTTTTTAAACACCACAATGTTTTAAATACATACAAATGTTGGGAACCAATTGTTTTTTGCATTTTGTTCTATTCAGCTACACAAGTATCCTCTTTAAACTACTAAGAATTGTACTATAAATGTGACTTTACCCGATTCTTATTTACACCTTAATTTATTGATATGCCGCACAATGTTCTCCTTTTTGGTGCTATAGAAATGGCCTCCCTACTGCTGAGCTGCAGTTGGATGAAACTCAAGCCCTCCAATGGACATGGAAAAAAAGGTTTGCAAGTCTGGCATGATTAGGGACAGAACAAACAACATGTGTTTACTGATGAGTAAAGTCAAGCTAACAGAATAGACTGCATGTTACGCTCTGCTACAGGAATATGTGCTGAGCTGTTGCTGAAGCTTGGACCATATTTAATTCACTAAGGGTTTAAACACTACGGAGCCCCTCTGATGACATCGTCAAAAAAAAATGTTTAATTGTGGCCACAAAGTAGTATTTCGTGCGCACGAAATACTACTTCGTGGCCATGCAATAAGTATAACGTGCGCACGAAATACTTATTAATAATATTAATATCATTCCTGGACAACTGGGTAAGCAAATCGAGCTCGCCTTCGACCTTAGAGAAGTCCCCACTGAGATAGGAAGGAGCGACATACACACTCCAGGATGGGTGAATACAGCAGAAATTAACTGAAATAATGTTTTTAGACCTATTTATATCAGGCAATGCCTGTACAAAACAACACTGGAATTCTGGAACCATGACACACCATGACAGACCCCCAGGAACTTCGTAGTTTATTATTCCTTCATTATCAATTCTAAGATTTATATGATCAGTTAATAATAAAAATTTGTTAGTCTAAATAAAATAACATTTGTTTTGATGGTGTTATTAGAGAACCTGATTAGATTTTGGAAGAGTTTAAAAAGTCATTAATATAAATGATGAAGAGTAATGGTCCCAGAATTGGAATGCAAATTTTTGGGGATCACTTTCTACATAATGATGTCTACCAAAAAAGGTAACTTTTAAACCAATTATATGCCATTCCTCTAACCCTTCAGAGTTGCAGTTTGTTCGGTAATATCTATATATTTTTCTGTAATATCTATATATTTTTTATTTTCTTTACTTTAGTGAACATGCAAAGTTACAATAAAATTACTGCAATGCAATAACACAAACATTGAATGGAGTGGGTAGAAGTATAATCATTTCAAGCCCCAACCCTTTTTCAGCAACATCACAAAATTATCTCATCTTGTTTATATGTATTTTATAAGTACACCTTCCTTTTACTTCCTTATTCTAGATTAATGCAGTGCACTCATTGATATATTATTAATATCTCTGATAATAGTATTAACTACAAAGCACTGTTAATGCTATTTGCCAACAATAATGTAACACTAGCAACAATATACATCGAGACTGTTTCTCATATTTACTGTAAACTATTTTCTTTGAGACAAAAAATAAATAAATTTGAATTGTTTAATGTTAGGCATTGTTTTCATTCCACAATCTGTTTCATAGTTTCACACCACAGACTGAACTGCACAATTTTTTTCTTGTGGTTCTGATCTTACAACGTTTGAATTTGTATTTTCCTCTGAGGTTTTTAAATTTATTAAATAGGTGTGTATATTGTTTTAGTTCCAACCCATGTCAAAGCCATTACAGGAAAATTAAAAGGTCCCCACAGGGGTCCACTGTTGGCTGGTGCAGAACGACACAAGTCCCCACTGAGATAGGAAGAAGCGACATACACACTCCAGGATGGGTGAAACAGTAGAAATGACCAAAACTGGTAATTTTCAAGACAATTTATGTATACATACAGCATTTTCATCAATGCATACAGCATTTTCATCCAAATCTTTAATTGATTTAATGGTTCCAGGCTTTCTACAAATGAGCTGCAGAAACTTTAATTTTATTCCCAAAGTGCTCCTTTGATAATTGTTTCCCTTTTCCGTAGCCTTAACTTCTGTCATGATGGGTTACAATAGTTAAGCCCAAGATGCAGAACACATACACGGGAAACTGGGTTAAAAGTCCAAAAGAGTTTATTGTGGAACAAACATGGATATGAAACGGGAACTGGTTCAGGCAGGGGAGCAGGTTCACTGGAGACAGTACTGTGACTGGAGACTGAGTGTTAGCTGAGTTCATGAAAGCTAAGCATCTAGCTTAATGTTTAGCATGGCTGCCTAGATCTGAGCTTCCAGCTCACTGCAGAGAACAACAGGGAATTAACACAAAGGATTCTTCTGGTTGAGCTTCCAGCTCACTGCAGGGAACAACAGGGGAAAATCCACATAAGAATCTCTAGGGAAACTCCACAAAGAAGTCGTCAGGTTTCATCCACGTAGGAATCTTCGGGTTGGCTCACCAGGGCAGATTAGCAGGTTAGACTTTCCAAGAGCTTCAGGCTTGAGACTGGTTTCCTGTGATGCAGCTCTCCCAGAGCTGCAGACCAGAGACAGGGTTCCAGAGAGGTTGCTCTTCCTGAGCTTCACGAGGAGACAGGTGGTTAAGCTCATCCAGAACTTCACGAGGAAACAGGAGGCTAAGCTCATCCAGAGCTTCACGAGGAGACAGGAGGTTAAGCTCACCCAGAGCTTCACGAGGAGACAGGAGGTTAAGCCCATCCAGAGCTTCACAAAGAGACAGGATTCCTGTGAGGCACAGATAAAGGAGAGATTAGAATCTGATCTCAACCTAGAGACAACCAAGACTCAATCTATAACAGAAGGCTCAGGAAGCTAACCAACTAAGATCAACACTGCGGCGTGGAGTCAAGGTCTGAAGTCAGCTTATATAGGAGAGGTCTTCTGATGAGAGGATTAGCAACAGGTGTGCAGGAAGGTTCCAGCTCCAGAAGACCCACGGCGCACTCTGCTGGAGACAGAGGGTAGTCTCCAGATCCCCACAGTAACTGAACCCTAAGGGAAAAACACAGAGCAGAAGAGGATCCTCTGCGCCCTCTGGAGGGCAAGCCTGAGGATCCTAACAGTACCCCCCCCCTCAAGGGCGGATTCCAGATGCCCCCAGAAAAAGTCCAACGAAAACAAACAAAAAACAACCCACCCAGGGTGG